ATTGAATTCTTTCCCTAGATTTAGAAAGTTTTCTGGTATGATTTCAGGGAAAAAATTTTATGTCTTCTGAGTCATCTTCTATTTTTTTCTTTATTCCTATCATTCTGATGTTGGTTTTTGTTTTGTTTTGTTTTGTTTTTTTGTCATACAGTAGCTGTTAGATCCAGCTTGCATGTTGTCTTGTTGTGTTTTGGATATCACTGAGTTTGTGATCTACTACATCTACCTTGTCTTCAGTTTCTGACACTCTATCTTCATGTTGGTAGAATCTTCTAGCCATGCTTTCTATTAAATTTTTCATATCTTGAATTTCTCCTTGATTTCTTTTCAGGTTCTCCAGTGTCTCTCCAGAACATTTATAAATAGCCCATAGGACAAAGCGGTAATCAGTAGGAAAATTATAAACCATTTTGAATTGAATGAAAATGAAAGTAAAACATAAAAATTTATGGTATGCACAGGAAGGACTGAAAGTAAATTTATATATTAAAATTATATTACAAGAAAATAAAGATCTTAAATAAGTTATCTAACTTTTCATTTTAAGAAACTAGAGAAGGAAAGTGAATTGAAAAATATACAAGCAGAAGGGAGACTACAATAACAATAAGAGCAGATTATCAACTTAAAAATGGAAAAAATAGAAAAAAACCTATGAAACCAATTAAGGTTCTTTGAAAAGCCTAATAAAACTGATACACCCCGTCTATTATGACCAAAGGAAAGAAGAGATATATAGGTACCAATGTTAGGAATGAACTGGGGATATAATTCCAGTCCCATTACAGACAATAAAAGAATAATGAGGGAGTATGACAAACAACTACATGCCCATAAATTTGACAAATTAGATTAAATGGACCAATTTCTTAAAAGGTACAGGCTATTGATGCACAGTGATAAAGAAATAGGTGACAGGGCCGGGGATTTAGCTCAGTGGTTCTGGCACCTGCCTTGCAAGCGCAAGGTCCCGAGTTCGATCCCCGGTACCAAAAAAATAAAAAACCAAAAGGAAATAGGTGACAATTCCCCAAAATGAATGTAATTATTATGTATCACATATTTACCAATTATATATGTTAAGATATTAATATTATATGTATACCAATATATATTAAGAAATAGGTAACCCAGATATGTATTAGTTTAAATTGAGTTTGTAGTTAGAACCCTACTATCAGGGAAAACTACAGACCTAGATGGCACCACTGATAAATTCTACCAAACATTTAAAGAAACAATAACAATTCCACAATCTTTTCCCAAAAATAGTAGTATGTGGATCATTTTCTGACCATTGTGAGGCTAGCATTACCCTGATATGAAAATCAGGCAAAGACATGAGCAAAGTAAGCTAAAGACCAGTAGCTCTCATTCATATAGAGGTAAAAGTACTCAAGAAAATACATTTATCCGAATAAAATGAACTGATTGGAAAATCATTCAATGTATTTTGCCATATCACCAGTAAGAAGAAAAGCTACATTATCATCTTAATAAATACTAAAAATTATTTGATAAAATTTATCATCCTTTCCTCAAAAATGTTTTCAGAAAATTAAAAATAAAATGGAACTTCTTTAGCAAAAAGACACTTGCAAAAATATTTCACTCATCATATTTAGTGATGAAAGACTGAATACATTTCCCCAGAGATTTGAAACAACAAAGATCACCTTCATCAATACTCCTTCAGTATTATTCTGGAAGTTCTAGTCAGTGCTATAAGACAAGTAAAAAAAAAAATAAAAGAAATACAGAAGGAAAGGAATAAATAAAACTGTATTTATAGAATACATCCACACAGAAATTTCTAAAATATAGAGGTGGATTAAGTAGGATCATAAAATACAACACAAATATACAAAAATGAATTGTGTGTGTGTATGTATTAGCAATGAACAACCTGGGATTAATGATAATGAAAACAATATAATTTACAATAATGTAAAATACCATGAAGCTCTTATGTATATATAGCTCTAAATGAATATTATGGAAGATTTATATGTAGAAAAGCATAAAATACTGCTGACAAATCAAACATCTAAGATAATGGAATGATATGCTTTGTTTGTGTATTGGAAGGAGCGATATTGTTAAGGTATTGATTCTCCCCAAATTGGTCCATAGATAAAACAGATTTTTAAGGAAAGCACAGAATTTTCTTATTACTTTAATCATTGGATCGAAAAGAAAACAATTTATAATAGCTAAAGCACTTTTTTTTGGTACTGGTGATTGAACTTGGGACCTTGCACTTGCAAGGCAGGAGGCGGAACCACTGAGCTAAATCCCTGGCCCCCCAAAGCGCTTTTGAAAAAGCACAAGTATTATAGAATTCAAAGTACCTAACATCAAAACTTAATGTAAAGCTACAGTAATTAGCATAGTATGTGAAATACAGACACATAAATGAATGGAACATAATAGAGAATCTAGAAATAGACTCACACATTTGATTTGTGTGGTACCAGAGATTGAACCAGAGGACCTCACACACGATCAGCAAGCATTCTACCACTTAGCTACATCCTATTCCCCATATATTTGATTTCTGACAAATTTGCAAAACAATTTTAATAGAAAAATAATTCTTTTCAACAAATAGCATGAAAACAATTGGACATCCATACACAAAATAAAACAAATACTTAATGCTTTGTACAAAATTTAACTCTGACTGTATTACAGAACTAAATATAAGGTCCTAACATTTTTTTAAAAAACTTCTAAAACAGAGGCAGACAAACTTTTCTATAAAGAACCAAATAGTAAATGTTTTAGTTTTTGTGAGGGCCACATATGGTCTTTGTCACATCTTAAAAAAAAAAAAAAAAAAAAAACCCTCTAAAAGCATAAAAACCGTTCTCATTTCATGGTCAGTGTAAAAAGAGGTCTGTAGGTCAGATTTACCGAGGGGCAATCCTGTTTTCCCTTGTTTTGTTTTGTTGGGTTTTTTTGGTACCGGGGATGGAACTTGGGACCTTGCCCTTGCAAGGCAGGCTGCGGAACCACTGAGCTAAATCCCCGGCCTCTGAAATTAGTCCTTTTTGAAATTTGGGAAAGTTTTTTTTTTTTAACTCATGGTGTATACAGATCTTTGTGCTTTTTTTTTTTTTTTTTTTTGTGTGTGGTAGCAGGGATCAAACTCAGGACCTTGCGCTTGTGAGGCAGGCGGCAGAACCACTGAGCTAAATCCCCGGCTCTTTGCTTGTTTTAGAAGAAAGCATAAGAGAAAAATCTTTGTGATCATAGATTGGGCAAAGAGTTATTAGGACACCAAAAGAACAGTCCATACAAGAAAAAAACTTGATAAATTGGACATCATGAATGTTGAATGTAGGGCCAGGAATTTAGCTCAGTGTTTCCACCCCTTGCCTCGCAAGCGCAAGGTCCCAAGTTCGATCCCCGGTACCAAAAAAAAAAAAAAGTTGAATGTACTTTAATGTCATGTCTAACAAAAGACTTGTAAATAGAATATACAAGAACTCTCAAAACTCAATAACAAGAAAACAAACAACCCAATTTTTAAAGTAGAGTTGGAAAAATGGATAATTTAAATAGATAACTCACAAGTATAGACACTTGAATAGCAAAGAGGCACATGTAAAAAGATATTAAGTATAATTAGCTGCAATATGCAAGTTGAAACAACACTAAGATATATAATTATTAGAATTGGCTTTTTTAAAAAAGGAAAAATGACAACACCAAGTGCTACCAAGGCAAAGATGAAAAATAACTGAAAGTCACATACATTGCTAGATAGAATGCAAAATGGTGCAGCCACATTGAAAAACAGTTTGATGATTTCTTAGAGGATTAAATACGACCTTGGCACATGACACAACTCCACTTCTAGTTATTTACTAAAGGAAATGCGAAGCTTCACATAAAAATTCACAAGTCAGTGTTCATAACAGCTTTATTTGTAATCACTAAGAACTGGAAACAATAAGGGGGGATGCACGCCTGTAATCCCAGCACTCAGGAGGCTGAAGCAGGAGGATCACCATGAATTTGAGGCCAGCCTGGGCTACATAGTGAGTTCAAGACCAGCTTGAACTGCATAGTGAGACTGTGTCTCAAAAAAAAGAAAGAAATTGGAAACTGCCCAAATGCCCATCACATATTGAAAAGATTCACAAAATGTAGCATAATAATACAATAGAGTACTATTGATACATACAACAACTTGAATGAATCTCAAATAGATCATATTAAGTGAAATAAGACATACTCAAGAGGCTACATACTGCATAGTTGCATTTAAATCACATCCTTGTAAGGGAAAAACTGTATGTTATACGATAGAGCCATGGTTGACAGAGAATTAGAATTTGGGGATTTGGGGAGAGATTGACTACAACTGGGTAATGGACCATTTTGGGGTTGAAGGAACAGTTCTATATCTTGCTTTTAGTGGTTTTCATATGACTAAAAGCACTTCTTGAAATTCATCAAAGTGCACATTAACATGAGTGAAATTTAAAGTATATAAAAGTTTTGAGAAGTGGCAGTGACAAACAAGATGGAGAGAGGGACAGTGAAGTTTCTAAGGTCAAAGAGATGTTTCTCTGATAGAGAAGAAGCTTAAGGCTATTTTAGGCCATGGCCTTGAATTAATAAAAAGGAAGATGTTGAAGGTCGTATACTTTAAAATCCAGATATTTTGAAAATATATTTTAAGCTTATAAATAATTGCCCATGATGTGTTACAATTAGATGCAATGTGTAGTTATAATCTTTTTGCAGTGTTTGTTGAGGTTGATTTAACTACTGAAGCTGAGTGTTCAATATATGTTAAATTATAAAACTATTGGTGAATTCCATATACTCTTATCTGAGTACTTAAATGTACTTTTTTCCTAATGAATGGCCAGTTTTTCAAGGTCCTTTCTAAAACTTATGTGCCTTTTCACATGGATATTATGGCTCCTGTGGACTGGTGACTCAGCTGTTAGTTTAAATATCTAAACTATATTTATTTCTTAAAGGTGATGTTGGACCAAATGGGCAGCCTGGACCAATAGGACCTCCTGGGCAGCCAGGAATTGGTGTTCAGGGACCACCAGGACCACCAGGAATTCCTGGACCAATGGGCCAACCAGGTAAGAGTGGAGTAAATGTGCATTTTGTAGCAGTCCTAATAATAGGCTGGTAAGCTTATCAATAAAGTAAAGCCTATGTAATAGTCTTCCAAGAATGTGATTTAAGAGGTAAGCTATTTATGTATGTAATTTTGTAGAAATGAAAAAGTATAGATCAAAGCATAACAGTGTATTTAATCCCAGATTTTTTCCTTCTTGTTCACCCAAGATTGATCTGTTTCCAAAAATGCAGTTTAGTAATTACACTATGCTACCATTAACATAAAGTCATTGAGTTAGACATAAATTTGTAAGCATAGACTTAAATTTCTGGTGCTGATTATTTCAGACTTGAATACCTGTACGGGAGTAATCAACTTTTCTCTATGGAATCACTTAACATTTCTTACAGTTAGGGTTTAGCAAAAATGTTCTATAAAATATATTACAGGCATTTTCATTTTCTTTACTTCTTTAAAAATAACTGAGTTGATTTTTTCCTTTTTGTCCCCAAACCAGCACTCTAATATTTTGTATTTTTTATTGGATACTCAGAAAGGTTTTTATCAATAGAGGTTTTGCATCCAAAAGAATCATATGTATCTTCTACATTTGTGCAAGAGTATGTCAAGATTGTGGATTATGAGTCATTTGGAGATGTGAATTCTTTTTTTAATAAGTATGTTTATGAAACATAACATAACATCATTTGGGGGAATTAGTACATATGCTTATTGATCATTTTCACTCCCATTTTCCCATTCCCATGACCACCCCTCTCCCATTTTCCCTAGATCCCCTTCCCATTCCCACAAAATCTACCTCCCTGTTTCCTACCATCTCGTTTTATTTTGTTCTTTCAATGATTTATATTTTGGATTTCTCATTTAAGAAAAACCATGTGATATTTAACCTTCTGTGCCTGATTTATTTCACTTAGAATTATGTTCTCAAGGGCCGGGGATTTAGCTCAGTGGTTTCGCCGCCTGCTGCACAAACACAAGGACCTGAGTTCGATCCCTGGTACCAAAAAAAAGAATTGTGTTCTCAAGATCCATCCATTTTCCCATAGATGACTCAAATTTTCCTTCTTTCTGGATGAGTACTACTCCATGATACTGTATATGTTTTCTTTCTCCATCTGTTGTGGGCATATAAGCTCTTACCATAATTTAGCTATTGAGGACTGCTACTACAAATATGAGTATGCATGTATCACTGTAATATGATAACTTCAATGCTTTCTAGAAGATACCAAGAAGAGGTATAGCTAAGTCCAAAGGAATTTTGGTCTTCAGTTTTCTGAGGAATCTCCAAAATGAATTTGATAGTGATTTTACTAGTTTACACTGCTACCAACAATGTAGAAAGGTTCTTTTCCCCCAGTTACCTCACCAGCATTTGTTGTTTTTTGAATTGGTGATAATAGCCTTTTTTTCCTAAAATGGAATCTCAGTGTTTTGATTTGCATTTCTCTAGTGGTCAAAAGTACTGAACATTTTTTCATGTACACATTGACCATTTGTACTTCTTTTCTGGAAAACTGTCTATTCATTTCAATTGACCACTTTTCATTTCTGTCTTTTATTTTGAAGAGTCTGATTCTTTTTTTTAGTTCTTTATATATTCTTGATGTTAGTTCTTTGCCCATGAAGTAGCAGGCAAAAATTTTTTTCCTATTATGTAGACTGTCCCTTCACTCTGTTGGTTCTTTCCTTTGCTGTGCAAAAGATGTTTTTTGATATGATCCCATTTGTTGATTCTTGGTACTATTTCTAATGCAGTTGAGGTTCTCTTGAGAAATTCCTTGCCTACACATATGTCTTCAAGGGTTTCATCACTTTTTTATTCTAGCAGATTTCGTGTTTCTGCTTTAATATCTTGGTTATGGATCCATTCTTTTATAATTTTAGAACAAAGTAAAAGATACAGGTCTAGATTTATTCTTCTACATGTGGATAGCTAGTTTTCCTACCATTTGTAAAGAGGATGTCTTTTCTCCAGTATATGCTATTGGCCACTCTGCCCAAAATCAAGTGACTGAAGGTGCTTGTGGTGTTTCAGAATTCTCAATTCTTTTATTTTTAAGTAGTACATGTTTGTGGTGCATCATGAAAGCATTCACTGTGGGTACTTGGTACATGTACATGACACATGTGAATTACTTTTAAATCCCCTTCTCCAACTCCCTCAATCTCATAATCTCCTTACCATTTGACAATGATCTATCTCCACGTTTCCTATTTTTTATCTTTTATTTGCTCTTTGACTTATTTATTCTGTGGGTTTCTCATATAATAGAACCATATGATTTTTAACCTTTTTTGTCTCACTTCACTTAAAATTATGGGTTCAAGGTACATGAATTTTCCTAAAATTATTCAAATTTTTGTGTCTTTATGTCAGAGTAGTACTCTATTGTGTGTAAATACCGTATGTTCTTTATCCATTCATCTCTTGATGGACATATAGACTGCTTCCATGACTTAGATACTATGAACTGTGCTGCTATAAATATGGCTGTGCATGTGTCACTTTAATATAATGTTATTAACTCTTTTGGGAAGATGCCTAGAAGTGGAATAGCTGAGTCAAATGGAATTTATATTTTAAGATTTTTGAGGAAATTCAATACTGATTTCCACAGTAGTTGTACTAGTGTACATTCCCACCGACAATGAAGAAGGGTTTCTTTTTCCCCATACCTCACCAGAATTTGTTATTATTTGATTTTTTTAGTAAGTTTATTGGTACATTTTAGGTATACATTATGATCACATACATCATTAGAAATTTGTACCTGTCCAAGATGTGTCTTAGTTCTTGTTTTTTCCCACTCTCCTTCCTCCCCTTCCACCCCTCCACCCCTCCCTATTTACAAAAATTTTGTTTCTGTTCTTTCTTTTCTCATTTTTATCTCCCCCCCAGTCCCCCTTCCCCTTTAAAACTTTTCTTCCTATTGCACAGTATCTATTATACATTTTGATCTTCTTTTACACTTTCATTTTCTCACACCAGAGAAACAATTCAAGATTAACACATGTGTCCTATTTATTTCATATACGAGTATGGTCTCAAGGTACATTCATTTAGCTATAAATGTCTCTAGTTTACCATTCTTTATGGCTGAGTAGTGCTCCATTTTATTAAATAAAAAACACATTTTCTTTATCCAGTCACCAGTTGATGGGCATTTGGGCTTTTTGCAAGGTTTAGCTATTACAAACTGTGCCACTATAAACATGGCTGAGCATATATCACTGTGGTATGATGCTTTTAATTCTTTCAGGAACATACCCAGATAAGGAATACTGGGTCAAATGGGACCTCTAATCCTAGTTTTTTGAGGAATATACACCCTGATTTCCATGATGGTTGCACAAGTCTACACTCCCGCCTACAGTGGAGAAGAGTTCCTTTTCCCCCACAGCCCTGCCAGCATTTGTTATTGGTTGATTTCTTGATAGCAGCCATTCTTCCTGGAGTGAGGTAGAATCTCAGCCTTTCTTTCTTTTGCATCTCTCAAATGACCAGTGATGTTGAACATTTTTTCATATGTTTATTTGCTGATTTACTTCTTTTTTAAAAATTTTATTGCTACATTTAAGGTATACAATATAATGACATTCATCATTGAAAATATGCACCTTTACATAATCCATTTTGGTTCTTATTTTTTCTCCATTCCTCTGGCCTCCCTTCAAACCCTCCACCCCTCCCTATCTACAAAGACTTTGTTTCCATTTTTTCTTTTTCTCATATTAATTCCATTCCCTTCTTTCCTTTCCCCTCCCCCTCCCATTTCCCATTCCCCTTTGCACCTTTTCTTCCTATTTCACATTATCTATTATACCTTTTAGTCATTACTTACACTTTCAGTTCCTCACACTAGAGAAACTATTCAGTATTTACACAAGTGTGTCCTATTTATTTCACTTAAGAGTATCACCTCAATGTTCATCCATTTAGTTATAAATGTCTCTAACTTCTCTTTTTTTTTGGTACCGGGGATCAAACTCGGGTCCTTGTGCTTGCGAGGCAGGCAGCAGAACCACTGAGCTAAATTTCTGGCACCTAACTTCTCACTTTTTATGGCTGAGTAGTACTCAATTTTATAAAAACACCACATTTTCTTTATCCAGGCTCCAGATGATGGGCAATTGGGCTTCTTCCAAGTTTTGGAAACTACAAACTGTGCTTCTATAAACATGGGTGCACATAGATCACTGTGGTATGATTCTTTTAATTCTTTGGGGAAGATATACAGCAGGGGAATAGCTGGGTCAAATGGGTCTTCCAGTCCTAGTTCTTTGAGGGATCTCCAAACTGATTTCCATAGTGGTTGCACCAGTCCAAACTCCCACCAGCAGTGGAGCAGGGTTCCTCTTTCCACACAGCCCTGCCAGCATTTGTTATTGCTTGATTTCATGATAGCAGCCATTCTTTCTGGGGTGAGGTGGAATCTCAGTCTTGTTTTCATTGGCATCTCTTGAATGACCAGTGATTTATGTTTATTTGTTATTTCTACTTCTTTGTCTGAGAAATATCTGTTCATTTCAGATGCCCATTTTTGGATTGGGTCTTTAAATTTGGGAGGTCTGATTTTTTAAAGTTCTTTATATATTCTAGATAGTAGACCTTTGTCTGAGGGTCAGCTGGTGAAAAATTTTTTCCCACATTGTGGGTTGTCTCTTCACACTGCTGGTGGTTTCTCTTGCTGTGCAGAAGCTTTTTAATAAGAAGAGATCCCACTTGTTGATTGTTTGTGCTAGTTCACGGGCAACTGAGGTTTTGCTCATAGAATCTTTTCCTATACCAATGTCTTCAAGATTTCTACCTAACTTCTCTTCCAGCCGGCTTAATGTTTCTGTTTTAATATTTAGATCTTTAATCTATTTCAATTTTAGTTTAGTGCATGGTGAGAGATATAGGTCTAGTTTTTATCTTTGGCAAGTTGAATCCCAATTTTTCCAGCACAATTTATTAAAGAGGCTATCTTTCCTCCAGTGTGGGTGCTCGGC